CTCCAGTTTTATGGTGCAGGGTTGTTGACATTTTCTCAAGCAATAAATAAGAAATGTCACATAATTCATCATTCCTGGATTTAGTCCTTCTTATACAGTCTGAGTGGCTGTTTCACCAGTCCTTCAGCTCCAGCTCAGACTTTGCTCAGGTGTTTTGGCTGTGGTGTGGACCTGTCTTCCTGCAGAACTTGCAGACTCTGTAAGCCAGGACAGCATAAAGAGAGATGTTGTAAGGCCTGTAAGACTTGTAGTTCTTTCTCTTTCCAATTCCCATGGTTCCTGCTTGTGGAGAGAGCACCCAGGTTCAGAGGTTTGGGCAGGACTCACCATCCAATGCCATCTGATGGACCACCCACTACAGAGCCTGAGGACTTAAACTGCCTACAGGTCCCAGAAATGGTTACAATGATTTCACAACCAACCCAACTTCCAGAGCTACTTGCAAGTACAAAGCCTACCTAAAATAAAATAAATGAAACTGACTTGCTAGGGGATAAAACAAAGCAAAACAGAATACCTGGCAAGTGAAACTGTCTCATTTCTCAAGCATGAGGTCTTGGAATATTTTATTTCATCTACTTTCAACTTTAAGAAACAAGAGTGAACGCTGTGGCAGAGGCTTAGATTTAAGAAATGTCAAGGAAAAAGAAGAAACTGCTGTAGAAAAACTTGTACTGTCACTGTTGTAATATGGCACCATAGCTGCAATCTGGTAATGGGCAATAAAAATGAGATGAGGAGTTTGCTTTGCAGAGCACTTAGGTTATGGAATAAAATCACATGCATCAAAATTATGGCATAGCCTCCTGTATTGCATAATGTATTGCATAAGAGAAAATAGAGAATAGCTGCTTCCCATTAAGACTGTCACATGGACAGGTCATGGATGCCAACAGGGGATGAAATTTCATGGAGAAAGCAAAACTGAAAAAAAATTTTTGATTCAGTCAACTTCAAAATCACACTTCATTCAAAGTAATTTTTAAGCTATTATTGTTCCAACCAAGATAATTGTAACTATAAAAGGCTTGAGAGAAGGATATTTTTACGATGTCAAGTGTAAGCCCTTTGGATTCTATCAAAAGATCATTTAAGTCTCTTTGCCTGTAATTTCTCAAGTGTAGTCAGGCTCCTTCTTTCTGTGGATTTTTCTTACAGCAAAAGGCAAAAAAAATATTTTTAATTGGTTGAGGAGCTCTGGCACCAAAACTATTTTAATTAATTGTTTCTAAACATGGAATACATATAGAATTTACTTTAGGCTTATTAAATCTTGCTGCAATACTGAAATTTTCCATTTAGCCTAAACAGAGTTTTACAGATTAAAAGAAATAAAACTGAAGGGAAAGCAAGCCCACACTCTTTATTACATTCATCTTTTTTTAGAATGACAAAATTAAATCAACACCCACATAAAATATAATTGCCAATATCATACCATTTCTTTTTTCAGAGCCAAAGAAGACAAAAATCCATCATTCCCACCTTCAGGTCAGCTGCTCAGCTCCTTTCTCCTGCCAAGAAGATTGCTCTGCCTACCTCTGCCCAGAAGAGGAGCCAGTGAGAGGAGCCGGGTGTTAGAGACCTCTCACTGAGGAGCGGCCTCCCTGAATTTCGAGAGTGCTAAGGAATGTGCTGGATCAGACACCGGGGAGGTGCCTTTTTACATAATTACCACAATTTTTTAGGCAAAGACCGCCTCGGGCCCCCTGTGGCTATGCTGCAGTCTCTTTAGCAAAGCTTTTGCTTACTTAACTGAGAAATATATTGAAGAAGAATGGGTGAGAGGCACTTGAGTGAGAAGGGGCTGCACACGAGGTCTCCTGCGAGCCACATGTGCAGCCCGAAGGGAGGTGGTTCCCAGCTGCATCCCATCCACCTGAGTGGGAGATCTCAGGGATGTGGCTGGCCACAGAGCTGGCACTGCCTGCCCTGCCAAACCTCCTGGTGATGATGCAAGTGGAATTCACCCAGCAGCTCCGTGGCCTTTCAGCACACAGAGTGATTTATCACTTTCGGTACATGCCACACGAGTGACATCAGGCACGGAATGGAGCAAGGTTTGCTCTCCACTCCTCATGGTCCCATCCTAAGGAGTGGTAAAAAGGCCAGGGAAGGGAATGGGGCCTGCTGGAGCCCTGCTACTGTGTCCTACTGCTCTCAACAGTATAAAGCCAGCATGGATTCACCTGCTGCTGCTACACAGGAATTCCTTCAGCTGCCCAGAGCCATCCACAGATACTCACGGTCACGCCGAAGCCTGACGGCGATCAGAGGAGCTGCTGGTGCTGGCAGTGCAGCAGGGATGAGGCAGATTGAATTCTGAGTTAATCAGTTTCGATCCAGCCACTCTGCTGCTAATCAAATTACCCTCAGCATTGGTTTGGAGCGTGTCTGCTCTTGGTGCCAATGCAGTTCAAGTGGCACCCTGATGAATACACAAACTAAATCCACATTTTCAGTGAAGGCAAGCCCTAGAAACCATGCAGAAATCCATTTGAACCATGCAGAAATCTTTACTGTAGAGCTGTACAACAAAACACTTCTTGTCCCCTTTGTGAAGACTGTACCATTAGTTTGTTTGATGTTACAAAGGCTAAAAAGGAAGTACAGAAAGGATGCACAGAAGGATGTAATGGCAAACAGCAGTATGCTGATTACTATGTCAAATTTTATTTGTGAAGAGCACAAGCACATGAGAATTGCCCAGACTGATTATTTGTGGGATCTGTGGGAGCTGTGGAACTCTGAAAGGGCCACTTGTGCTACTTTTTGCAGGAGTTAAGGCCTTGCATCAGCAACACAAAACTTCCTTAAACTGCTTGTTTAAAAGTAACTTAAAAAAAAAAAGTATTTGAAACAACAGTGTGTTTGCTGGGAACATATTACTTACTCAGGGAATTTTCTTAGTTTTCCTTTTCTTCCTGAGTGTAACTTTTGCTTTGTAGCTGCCTGAAAGTCATGGTACAAAATAATTTACTCCCTCTTCAGTACATTCCAGTTGACTTCAAAAGATTGCTGCCGTAAGAAGGAAAGTGCTTGGTTTTGGTTTATTCATACAAAAGAGGAACGTGATATAAATAATTTAGATGACTCGCCTTTGCCAAAGCCTTGTTAACCTGAAAGTTCCCAATTTGTGTCAGGGTTCATGTGGGCTCTGGCTGCTGTATAGGCCCAGGTTTTGTACAGGGTTCAGCTGCAGCAGCCACAAGCATGACTGAAGTGGCCACAAGATAACACTTGTGTTAAGGGCAGAGGCTGCAAATTCTCTTTCTTTTGAATAATGACATTTACAGAGCAGTTAATTGCATTTCAGGTTGCTTGGCCACTTAGTGCTTCTTCAGATGGCCTAAATGGAGGAAAAACCCAACCCCCTACTTGTTTGTACACTACTCAGCTACACGGAGTCGTGGTTGCCCATGATTTTATAGAATTTTAGAGGCTGTTTGAAAACATGACCTCATTGCTGTCTTCAGCTCCATGAGGGGAAGTGGAGCAGCAGGCACTGATCTCTTCTGTCTGGTGACCTGTGACGGAACCTGAGGGAACGGCCTGAAGTTGGTGGAGTTTAGGTTGGATATTATAAAAAGCTTTTCCCCCAGAGGGTGGCTGGGCACTGAACAGCTCCCCGGGGCAGCGGGCACAGCACAGCCTGCCAGGGCTCAAGGAGCGTTCGGACAATGCCCTCCGGCACAGGGTGTGACTCCTGGGGTGTCCTGGGCAGGACCAGGAGCTGGACTCGGTGATCCCTGCGGGTCCCTTCCAGCTCGGGATATTCTCTGAGAGATATTTATCTACCTATAGACAATATCTAAATAAATACATACATCTAAAATATTTAACGTGTGGGTGTAGCACAAGACTTGAAGAAACGAGCAGCGCGGTGCCTTTTGACCTGCCGGGCGGGTGGAGGAAGGGGCGGCCGCGCAGGACGAGCTTCCCCACAGCACATCGGCCCCCTGGCCCTCGGCGCACACCGAGATCCTCCTTCGTCGTTCCCTCCCCTCCCGTTCCTCGCTCCCTCCCATCCCGGGGGAATCCACGGGCGGCTCCCCCAGTGCGCCTCTGCCGCTGGAAACTACCGCTCCCATGGTGCTCCGCGCGCGGCGGGAGCGGCCACCTCCCGTGGCGGTGGGGGGAGGGGACGATGCGCGGCCCGGGCTCGGGCGGGGCGTGGCCGACAGCGCGGCCCCTCCTCCCCCCCGGACCGTGTGTCGGTTCGGGCTCCCGCCGTCGCCATTTAGCGCCGAGGCGTCGCCGGGCGGCCGCGCTCGGTCCTGCCCGCCGGGCGCCTCCCGGACTCGGCTCGGCGGCGGCCCCGGGGAGCGGCAGCCCCGGGGAGCGGCGGCTGCGGGCCGCGGGCAGCAGGAGCAGTAGCAGGAGAAGAAGAAGAGGGAGGAGGAGGAGGAGGGTTTCCGGCTCCGCGCGAGGCGGCCGCGGCTGTTGGAGAGAGCGCGGCCCGGCCGCGCGGGCGGTGGCTGCGCCTGCCGGGCGGTGGAAAGGCCGCGGCCGCCATGGGCGCCCCGGTGAGGCGGGGCTGAGCCCCCCGGACCCCTTTCCCTGCCCTGGGCCTGCCCGGGCCTCTGCCGCTCGGAAGCGAGTGACTGAGCGCGGCGGCTTTCTTGGCGTGCGGGCCTGCGCCCCGCTCCCTCCTCGCGTCCCGGCCCCTTCCCCTCCCCTTCCCGCACCCGGGCCGGCCCCGCTCTCTCTCCGTCGCCGGGAGTAACTGCAGCCGGCGAGGTAGCGGCGTCTCCCCGCTCGGGGGCCTCCCCGGTACTCGGGCTTTCCTTTATCTCGCCGTGCCCCACTCCAGCCCAGCGCCCCGTGTCTGCTCCCGGTGCTCCATGTCGGCCCCGCTGCCCGGCTCCCCGCTGCAGGATGGATGCATACGCTGACCGGGGATCCACCCCGCCGGCCCAGCCTCCCAGCTCCGCCGAGAGGAGCCCTTGGGACCCTCCTCTGTTGCAGCTGCAACGGCAGCCGCGGCCGGGCGCGCTCCCCGCTCAGTGACCGGCCCTTCTCTCGCCTCCCGCCGCCGCCTCGCCACAGCCGCGCTCCCCCGGGGCACCATGTCGGGGGACACCGCCGGCAGCGGCCCCCCGAGCCCGCGCTTCCTGGTGCCGCCGCCGCCGCCGCCCAAGAACGGTTCCAGCTCGGACAGCTCCGTCGGAGACAAGCTGGGAGCCGCCGAGCACGGAGCCTCCGGCGCCGGTGGAGCGGGCGGTGGACCGGAGAACGGAGGCCGCAGTGAGGAGTACCGGCGCCGCCGCCACACCATGGACAAGGACAGCCGAGGGGCGGCAGCCACTGAGCACCGCTTCTTCCGCCGGAGCGTGATCTGCGACTCCAACGCCACGGCCTTGGAGCTGCCCAGCTTGCAGCCCGCAGCGCCCTCGGCCCCTGTCTCGGGAGGCAGCGCGGCTCCCTCGGTGTTCCCTCCCTCGGGTGCCGGCCGGACCCCTTACGCCCCTGTCACCGCCGCCGAGGTCGACTCGCGGCCGCCGCCGCCCGCCCCGCTCCCCCTGGAAGGACAGGCTGCTGAGGAGCCCCCAGCCGCCAAGGATGCCGCCCCGCTGCTGCCCAAGGAGGAGGAGGAGGGGGATGAGGCAACTGCGTTACCCCCTACCAGTGCCTCTGGCAGCCTGTCAGCTGCCAGCCGGGAATTTGAGGAGCGGAGAACGCAGCAGGAAGACATCGAAGAGCTTGAGACCAAGGCAGTGGGCATCTCCCCGGATGGCCGCTTCCTGAAGTTTGACATCGAGATCGGAAGAGGCTCTTTCAAAACTGTGTATAAAGGACTGGATACTGAAACCACCGTGGAAGTTGCCTGGTGCGAGCTACAGGTAAAATAAATAAATTAAAAAAAAGTGAATTATCACAGCACAGTCACTCTCCCAGGTGCTAGTCATTGTGCTTGAAGGGGATAAAACCCATCAGCTCGAGGTCTGCTTAATTCGAAAGGAACTGCAAACCTTACCTGAGGCAGTCCTTTGGAGAAAAGGTGCATCCTTTCCATAGAGGCAGTTTGCCTTTTAATTATTTTAAATACTGTGCTCTCTGAAGAGTCTTTTAGCTTTATCATCACAAAATGTGCTACAGTTCTGTTTCGTACAGTGTCTTGCATTTTATACCTCCAAAAGGTAGCTTGGAGGATTGTAAAAACACTTGTGTGCAGCTTCAGGGAGGCTGAGGGAAGATGTGTGAATGTCGACTTGAGCTACTCTTAACGTTTCAGAATTTGTTGAGGTGTTTTTCTTAGGAGAAAATGTGAAAACATTAATTTCACAGACATTTTATAGGTAGTGGCAGTGGATTCTTGTGGGATAGATAACTCTAGAATATACACAAGTCATGCAGTGTATCACACCGTTTAGTTTTGCAAAGCTGTGATTTTCATTCCAACTTCCAGGGTTCATATTTGTTAACAGGGACAGGGAAAGAAATTATATTTCTGAAGCTTTAGAAAGCACCCTGAAGTTTGGCCTTTCTGGATGGCTGGTGGATTAAACTGGACTAAGACACTGCTCTTTTATCAAGTTTCTAGACTGAGCAGAGCCAGAGTTCTGTGGGAGCCCAGTCTTAAGGATGGCAAGAGCACCCTTAGTTCCCTGCGAGTCACAGCTTGTGTAACAGACACAGGTTGCTGTGCAGCAACCTGGAAAAGTGGGAAGAGCTTAGAGTACCAGGAACAAATACCTGGTGTGCTGGTTTGTTTCCAAAGCCTCAGAGTTAAGTTGAAAGGTTTTAGTGTTTGTTTTTTAGTGTTGGGTTTTGGTGCAATTCATAGAAGGGCTCATGTAGTACATCTTTATTATTGTTTGTGTTCCCATCCCATTTAGGGCAGACAAAAGAGCACTGGGTGAAAGTCCCAAAACTCTTTGTAGGGTTTTTAAGCAGTCAGTGGCTCACAAATGATTGCTTGCAGTAACTGCACCAGAACTTTCTCAAAAGCACTTGTATATCTGTTCCAGTCAAGCTGAGGGAATTTATTGAAAGATTTCTTAATATGAATTCATATTTGCTTTTGGGTGGTTGCTCAAGCAGTCTACCAATATCTTGGTTCATTATGTTATTGCCATTATTCTGTGCTTACTCACTATGGAAGAAAGCTTCCAGTTTTCTTTGTGACCCTTCAGCATGACCTGCTCCTCCAGGCTAGCTACATACTTGCTGTGGTGGTCTGTTTCAGCATTGATTTTAATTTAAAAGTAAAATGATTGAGTGTTGAGCTCTGCTGAAGCTTTACTTGTGCCATTTGAACTGTGAGGAGATTAATAACCCTATAACCTAAATAATTAAAAAGTCAAAATTATGACTTTAATTTGAAATTTTAATCTTTCCAATTTTTGAGTTCTGTGACTTGAATCTCTGAAGACTGTTTTAATCTTCACACTTACTGATCAGAAACTGATGTCAGCTTGCCATCAGTTGCATTTCACTGATGTTGCCTCTTGAAGTGTCTTAATCATCATCAATGCCATGTGGACAAACTGTCTGAAGGAGCACCACCTTTGAAGGAATTTATTAAAGAAGCTCATTTTTAAAGGGAATGTTGCTGGGCTTTCAGTTGGTTGGTGAAGTTCATGGGTAGTATTGAAATGGGCAAGTTTCAAAAAGCATGAATGAAAATATTTGCAAGGGGGAAATACTTGATGTATTGCTCAGAGGGGAACTGCATTGCAGGAGTGCCTTTTGGGTTAAGTTCAGCCAGATTCCAAAGGCTGTGTTTTTCCTCTCAGGAGTCAGTATGAAGTGACAAGTTTAAAACAAGAATGTACATTTTATAGCTGTTAAAAGTATTTGCTGAAGGAGATAGACTCTAGAGCTAGTAGAATATTTTAAGATTAAATCCTATTTTTTTTTTTTTTGTGGCTAGAAATAAAAGGAGGAACTTGGTATTTATTGGGATGGTGGGTATATCCTCTTACACAGGAAAATGTAATTGTTGATGGGTTGATATTTGTTATGCATGATTTATATCAAAATGAAATCTGCATTCACAAAGATGGACTGAAAAATATATGTTATTGGTTTTCCAGGATGCCATAGTTTGAAAATTGGTGAACCTTCAAAGCATAATTATTTTATTAGGGAAATGTTGAATGTTTTTTTTTCCATGCTGTGTTACAGTAGCCATAACTAACTGGTGGTTACTTTTAATTATCTTGAATTATCTTGAACCCTATTGCTATTCCTCAATAGCAATAGCAGTATTTCTCAGGCATCTGAGGTGTCCCACCTCCCCAGAGTCTTCTAAACAGCGCTGCTGAAGATTTTGTGTTGGTGTCTGTCAGAATGGCTTCTTCATGCTGAATAATGCAACTATGCCTAATTTTCTTGTGTGTGCTCTGTAGCAATGAAGATCAAAACCTGAGACTATGACTATGCTTCCTTTCAAAGGAAGTTTAGATGCTGTTTATGAAATGCAGCTTGTGTTTCCAAGTTAGTGAAACTGTGGAGGATATTGCTCATGTCCTCAAGGCTCTTGAATTGCCTTGTAATTGAATTGCCCCTTCTGCTTGATAAATGGAACTGTGGAGGAAGTAGAAGGGGGGAGAGCTGGAATTCACTGGGTGACCTAAGAGCTGAAATTCACTGGTTCTTAGTATCACCAGGAAGCCAAGGTCCTGGCTCTTTATTTTTTCTGGATCTGTGAGTCAATTTTGTTGAATCTAACAAAAGCTTAGTACAGGTGTGACTGATGGACCATCCTAGTTTACTTTGTGACCTGTCCCTATGAAGCAAATTGTTACTGAACCTACTTTAAAATATTGTGTGCAGGTGTTCAAATGTGAAATACCTGCCCTGCTGCGAATGTAGGGGGGCTGTGAAGAGCTCAGCAGCTACTGCTTCATGCCAGTGCTCAGCTTCAATTGCTGCAAGGCAATTGTTAGTGTGGTGTTGGCCTTCAAATACTTTTATTCCCCTTGTATGTATTCATCTCAGCTCTAGTTATTCTGAGTCAAGTGTGCCTCCTACTGTTGTCATTAGCACATCTCATAAATTGACTAAAATAGTAGTTAGGGTTACTAATTAAAGGGTTTTTAAGTAGGTAGACATTGACAAAAGTGATCTTTGTAAATTATGTTTGAGCAGTGAGTTTGACTCCTCTGTACTGTTCAGGTAATGTTGTGGATAAAATGTGATGCCTTCCCTTGATGCTTTAAGTTTGCAAAGTAATACTCTTATGCCAGAAGTAGCAAGTCACATTGCTGGCTGCAAAAGCCAAATCTTAGTGCTATTGTGTCATCCCTCTGAGTCCCTGTGTGAGTGGTTTTAAATCAAGGCTGTAATTTAACTGCTGATTTACAGAACAGTGCAGATTAATGCAGTCACTTGCTGGACTGCAAAATCTTCTATCTAGAATTATTGCTCTGGTTATTCAAATCAGTAACTTCAAATAGGGGTGTGCTTGATGATGTGGAGGTAACTTGGGCTCTTTTGAACTGTGTATTTGTGGGGCATTTGAAGACTTACCTTTCATTTGGGCAGTGTGTTCTCCTAAAGGAGGCATTATCAATGAACTGTTCATGTGAAGGTATTTGCACTGGTTGGAAATGGCTCCTGGTCAAGGGTGTGCACTGGAGAACAGCAGTGTGTGTCTGCTGGGAGCTCTATTGCTCCTGTCCCTTGTGTTCCCTGACAGAGAGGGTGGCTGGGCACTCAGCACCCACAGTTCATGAGTGCACCTTCTTGCTGATGTGTTTGCTTTGCCATTCTTGCTCTGATTTCAGTGCTGTGTCAGGTTATTCTGCTTAACACATGAGCTGCTGAAGGATTAGAGAGGAAGTGGAGGGCTCTACCTAAGCAACACAGTCTCAGGGGTAAGAAATGAGTTGGACAGGTGAAAGTGGTGCACAGTTTGTTGTACTCATTACTGTTTGAGGAAAGCTGACTGTGAATTTGGTTACCTTCAGTTATAAACCACCTGAGTAATAAATTGGTGTAGCTTACATGTGTGCAGTTCTCTAGCAGATGCCTAACTACAAACCAAGTGTACAGCTTACAAATGGATTTTTCTTACATAGGAAATAGCAATGAAAAACTAGCTGGAACAAGCATAATGCCAGAACTGGATGTGAACCATGAGATTCTATAGTGCACTCTGGTAAAAATGATAATGCAAGTGACACTTTGTAGCAGGAAACAGTGAGGTACTAAATAATATTTCCATCTGTCAGAGTTTTTCTGAGTCTAACAATGTGAACTTAAAACTCACAGTGCAGGAAGTAGATTGGATGTGATGTATAGCTTCACTTTTAGTGACACTTCAGATTTAACGATGCCTATCTTTTATCTCGTTGTCTTAAAGCTATATTTAATGGTGATTTTTAGGTCAGCAGACGGCATTGGAATGCCGTTTCTGTACTCTGGAGTATAGACTCCACTGCAGACTTACCATGACAAATATCAGCTTGTGGAGGTCAATGTATAATTCTTAAAATGCTCTATTCTTTCTGGACTGGCAGAGCTGAGAATGTTTCAGAAGTTGCACATTCAAGTCTGACAACCAAAACAGGTCTTGTATCACATAACTGTGGCATCCTGTAGTCTTTTTTTTTTTTTTTTTCTTTTTAAAAAGCTGGTTGCATATTGCTCACTAGGGAGTCCTGACTGCAAAGATGCTGGCTCTGATGCACAATCATGTAGCTACATTAAAGCAAAATGAAAAACCAGATCTAGACCTTTCTGCAGTGGCAGGAAGCTGAGAAATGTGGACCTGGAATTCATCTGTCAAGGACTGCTGGAAAACGATTACATTCTGTTAGTTCTGGAGAGATAGTCAATATCCCTTTGAAAGCTCTGACTGTGATTTAACTCTGATTATTTAAAAATACATTTT